CAATCAGGGATCAGGTAGAAGCCCACCAAAGTAACGGGCCACTTTTCCCAGGAGAAAGACTACACCAGGCACTGACGGTCACACAGAGATAATAGAAACACAGGAGACACAGTAGAAAAGAAACTTAACATTCCAGAGTCACCCCACTCCCATGGCAGCCAGGGCTTGAGAAAGGCCTAGCTGACATTGACTCTCATTGCTGTCAACACATATATTGTAAGCACTGCAGGGCAGGGGCGTGTCTTTGCATGCTACTCTGCTTCTGCTATGGTATCCAATGTGTAGGGCTGCCATTTGTCATAGGCTTGCCGGGTCCTCGCTGGCCACCAGCAGGGGATGGGGGAGTAGGGTTGCCAGCTCCAGGTTGGGAAACTCCTGGAGATATGAAGGCGGAGCCTGGGGAGGACCTCAGTGGGGTAAAATGCCACGGAGTGCACCCTTCAAAGCAGCCATTTTCTCCCGGGGGAACTGATCTCTGTAGTCTGGAGAGGAGCTGCAATTTTGGATGATCCTCAGGCCCCACCTGGAGGCTGGCATCCCTACATGATTTGCATCCTATAAGCAGGCAAACCCCCAGCGGTATTCCCATCTTCAGCTGGCACTCAATGGATCTCTAGGAATTTTCCCAACCTCTATGGTTTTTACCATAGAGATTGGTGAAAATCCTAGAGCATGGCATGGGGAAGTGACTTCCAGGTTCCTAGCCAAAAGAGACAACACCATTTTGCTATTGTTGGAGCTGGGCAGGCAACGGTACACATCTGTGTTCATAGCCTTCATCCTGTTTCTCTGTAGTCTTCAGGATTCCCTGTACCACAACATCTGCCTGGTAAATGGCTGCCAAGGCATTTGGTCATGAATTTCTTCTTCAGCATTCCAGGCATGTCCTTCTATCTGAGGCAGGGGGCGAACATGCTGGAATGTAAATTGCAGCCGTTTCTGATGTTTCGACAAGATTTAGATCTGATCTGCATTTAAACAGAGAAGTCAAAAATGGCATTAAATTCATATAAGTGCGAGATCATGCATTCCGGAGGCAGAAATATTAAATATCCCAGCATAATGGAACAGAAGGCCTGCCCGGTAATGGATTGTGAAAAAGAGTTTCAGGGTTTTTAATAGATCATTCCTTCAGATCATCGCCGCAGCAAAGTGGTAGTTAATAAATTATCCAACGTGCATTTGGACCAATATTTTAACCAGCTGTGACAAACGGGTTGTGTCATCTCCCCTCGATATGGGTGAAGGCTCCTGAAAAGGTGTGATTTATTTCCTTTTCCCCCTTATGATGGCCAGGGCAAGAGGCTAGGAAGGAGTTGTGCAGGAGTAAGAGTCGTGCAACAGTGGAATCGGCTGGCTCGGGAGGTGGTGAGCTCCCCCTCACTGGCAGTCTTCAAGCAGCGGCTGGACAAAGACTGGTCAGTGATGCTCTAAGCCGGAGGTGTCGAACTCATTTGTTCGGAGGGCTGGATCTGACATAAATGTCACTTTGTTGGGCCGGACCATGTGTGCCATAAAATGTAATGCCAGGTACCGGAGACATAAACTGTATAAATGACATAGGAAAACCCAATTAATGATATTTTTTACTCAAAACACTAACAAAAGTAATTGATTCCTAGCAGTGAAAGCAATTAATTTACTAGGGAGCCCACAAAAGCCATAATAAATGTATTTAATCGTATGCAAGACTAGTTTCCCCCCCAAAAGATACCATAAAAGGGTTCAAAAGCAAGAAATTGCAAGTAGATAAATAGGTACCACTTTGGTGGGAAGGTAACAGCGTTCCGTGCGCCTTGGTGTTTAGTCATGCCGGCCACATGACCACGAAAACGTCTTCAGGCAGCGCTGGCTCTTCGGCTTTGAAATGGAGATGAGCACTGCAACCCTAGAGTCTGATTCGACTGGCTTTCGAGCAAGGGAACCTTTACCTTTTTACCTTACATTTCCATACATACCAGTTGCTTGTGGGCCGGGTGAGGACCCTGGACGGGCCGGTTCTGGCCCCCGGGCCTCATGTTTAACACCCCTGCTCTAGGCTGATCCTGCCTTGAGCAGTGGGCTGGACTAGTTGGCCTGCATGGCCCCTTCCAACTCTGTGATTCTAGGATTCTATGAGTTGAGATCAAGGAGCAGGAAGGAAGACCACAACCAATGTTCCCTCTAAGTTGTGGAGTCTTGTGAGCAAAAATCCTACTTTGTAAGCCCCTGGCATTGTTGTGAGCAAGTTGTGAGCAAACAATTTGGCTGCTGCAGACATTTGTTTGCTCTGGAGCTATCCTTCCTGAGCTAAGACAGAAATGTGTGAGCCAGAGGCTAAAAAACTGTGAGCTAGCTCACACTAACTCAGCTTAGAGGGAACACTGACCACAACCCCTTCATCAACGATGCAGCGATTCACCTTACGGTGGCATGGGTCTGTAGGCACTTTTCACTAGTGGGCAGAACTAGTGGGCAGCGATGGGAGAAGGCTCCTGCGTTTGACTCTCGAATGCTCGGACCACCCCCGAATGCTCAGAAAGAAAGTCCGCTGTTTATCGAACACTTGAAATTGTTCAGAATTATATCGCGGGGGTGGGCAGAGAATCCATGGCTTGGTGGTGGTGGAAGATGCCGTCGAGTCACAGATGATTTACAGTCACCCCTTGAGGGGTTTTCAAATCAAGGGATGAACAGAGGTGGGGTTTGCCATTGCCTGCCTCTGCATAGCAATGCTGGACTTCCTTGGGGGGGGTTTGTCTCCCAATGAACTAATCATGGCCAGTGTTCCCTCTAAGCTGAGTTAGTGTGAGCTAGCCCACAGTTTTTTAGCCTCCAACTCACAGATTTTTGTCTTAGCTCAGGAAGGATGGCTCCAGAGCAAACTGATTTATGCAGCAGCCAAATCGCTCGCTCACAACTTTAATGCCAGTAGCTCACAAAGTAGAATTGTTGCTCACAAGACCCCACAGCTTAGAGGGAGCATTGATCATGGCCAACCCTACTTCGTTTCTAAGAACTGATGAGATTGAGCGAGCTGGGGCCAGCCAGGGGAGGGCCTCACGCTACTTACATACAGATACCCCTGTTCCCTTCCCTTGCCCGACATCCACCCAACCCAGCAGAGAGAGAAATAGTATAAATTTATAAAGAGGAGCGTTCCTTCATTGTTCCAACCCTGCTGGGACAGTAAGAGGAAGCTGCAGCGCCCGTCTCCCTAGTATTCCAGCCGTGTCCGTTTTCTCCACCTAATTCTGAGCACATTGGCGCTAACTGTGTGTTCTAGATAAGTTTGCAAGTATCCAGCTGGGAACAGTAGTGCAATCCAGTCAGTTCTGAGCGTATGCCAACATGATGAATAAATTCTGCTGAATGCACAGGCACAAAAGCAAAGCATGGTCTAGAAACGTCGCTCTTTTGAGTAACGCATGACCCTGAGGCATATGCGAGGCAGGAAAATCGTGAACAGGAGCCAACGGTGGCTATCTGGAGAGGCCCCGTGCCAAACGCCACCAACTGTGCGGCAGCAAAAACTGCTCTCAATGCTGCTCGTGCTGCATTGCAAACCAGTCTTTGTTTTGATTATATGGGGCGCTCAGCTTTAGAGAACATGATGTCGCAAGCCGGGAATGTGAACATCGGATCATCACTTGCTGAAAGTATGAGACCCATTGTGAAGGTATTGGGATCAAGATGGGACAGAGGGGCAGAACCCAAAGGACAGGGAAGCTGAGATGCAGGACGGCGATTGGCTGTCTGGGGGAGGGAGGAGCCCTGCTGCGACAGGGCTCACCAGATTTCAGTTGATCCTTGCAGGTTGTGAAAAGCAATCACAGTTTCAGTCTCAGCTGTACAGGCAGAGACAGCCAGAGTTGTGCCGTCGTTAGAGAGGTAGACCGGGATCTAGGAGATCTGTGTTTGAATACCGACTCTGCCCTGAGCTCAGTGGGTAGCCTTGAGTGAGTCATTCTCTCTTTGCCTAACCTCCCACATGTAATAGCTGTAAGGACAAAATGGAAGAGGGGAGTATAGCCCCCTAAGAGGAAGAGAGGGATAAAAATGGAACAGACTGCAAAGAGCAAATCAGAGAACACCTTCATCTCTTAGCATTATCCTCTCTGGTTCCACTTGCTGTCCATAATGCAGCATACTCCCTTCCTGGTCAGGTATGTAAGCCCCCCTTTCCCTTCAAATCCTTCAGAACTGTTCCAGTTCATCTCTCTCCCCCTTTGTATCTCTCTCTCGTTTCCCCCCCAGTGTCTATTTCAGTTTAAGAGTTTCTTGAGGATTCGAGTACATAACTCTGCAGGATCACCCTGGAAAACGATAGCACTGTACAGATCGTTGTTAATCGTAATGAATAAGCAGGATAAATTCATCCCAACTGGGGCTGAGATTGCACGATGCACACTTGTAAGTCATACAGGTCTCTTCCGTTGGCTGGCTCGAGGAACAGAATCCCGTGCTTCAGATGCCAACCCGGCTCTTTCTCCTGCATTCCCAAGACAGAAGGAAGAAGCGGCAGCAGAAGCCGGAGGCCCGTGTCTCTGCTCTTCCGTCCTCCCTGGCTGAACGGTGCCTTATAAGAGGGCCTTTTGTGTGGAAAAAGCCCAGCAGGAACTCATTAGCATAATAGGCCATACTCAACAGCAAAACTCATTAGCATATTAGGCCACACCCTGACAGCACTGCTCATTCGCATATTAGGCCACGCCCCCATGTTACTAGAAGTGTGGTCATCCAGCCACACCCACCTTTTGCTTCTTATTCTCTTTACCTTGTTTGTTGTCAAAACCCAGGGCTTTTTGCATGTTAGGCCACACACCCCTAATTGTAGCCAATCCTAATGAGTTTCTGCTGTTGGGTGTGGCCTATCATGCTAATGAGTTCCTGCTGGGCGTGGCCAACTTGGGAGCCAGCCAGAACTCTGTTCCTGTGCGTTCCTGCCCAAAAATAGCCCTGCCTTCTAATTTGGCAGAGAGGGTTATTCACGTCTCTGTCTGCCTCTCCTCTCTTCCCAGGTCTCCGACAGGTGCGACTACGTGTTCGTCAATGGGAAAGAAATGAAAGGGAAAGTGAATGTCGCCCTTCATTTCACATACCAGCACCTGAGCGCCCCACTAGAGATTACCGTATGGGTGCCCCGTCTCCCTCTCCAGATAGAAGTTTCGGACACAGAGCTAAACCAGATCAAGGGGTGGCGGATCCCCATTGTCTCCAATAAGAGGTGGGTTTTGCCTGAGAGCTGTGGTGGCTCAAGTGGTTAAGGCGCTGAACTGCAGGCTGTGGAAGGTCAGTAGTTCAGCAGTTCGAGACCCGAGTGTGCCGCATGATGGAGTGAGCTCCCGTCTCTAGTCCCAGCTCCTGCCAACCTAGCAGTTCGAAAGCAAGAAATTGCAAGTAGATCAATAGGTACCACTTCGGTGGGAAGGTAAAAGTGTTCCGTGCGCCTTGGTGTTTAGTCATGCCGGCCACATGACCACGGAAACGTCTTCGGACAGCGCTGGCTCTTCGGCTTTGAAGCACCGCAACCCTAGAGTTGGATTCGACTGACTTTCGAGCAAGGGAACCTTTACCTTTTTTGCCTGAGAACTTTTTACCAGGACCGGGTGCTTGGCAAGGACACCGCAAAGAGGGTTGCCAGCTGTGGGTGGGGAAATCAAGATTGTAAGAAGAAGAGAAGAAGAGATTGGATTTATACCCCGCCCTTCACTACCTGAAGGTGTCTCAGAGCGGCCTACAAACTCCTTTCCCTTCCCCTCCCCACAACAGACACCCTGTGAGGTAGGTGGGGCTGAGAGAGCTCTTGGCAGAAACTGCTCTTTTTTTCAAGAACAGCTCTTGTCAGAGCTACGGCTTGCCCAAGGTCCTCCAGCAGCTGCAAGTGGAAGAGTGGGGAATCAAACCGGGTTCTCCCAGATTAGAGTCCGCGCATTTAACTACTACACCACACTGGCTCTCTGAGACTCCTTCGAGTAGTGAAGCAGGGTATAAATCCAATCTCTTCTTCTTCTCTTCTTGTATTCAGCTTTGGGGTCTGAGTTGAATGTATGTTATGTTAATGTTAGGAGATGGAAATGTACGTTTAGAGATCATCAGGAAGTTTTCAGAGAACTCTTGGGAACTTGTCATTCTCTTGCTGTTGCTTTCCCTGATCCTTCTGTGTCCTTCCCTTGACAGGCCAGCTAGAGACAGCGATGACGAAGAGGAGGACGAGCGGAAGGGGCGGGGCTGCACCCTCCAGTACCAACACGCCATGGTGCGCGTCCTCACCCAGTTTGTAGCCGAACCCTCCGATCCGGGAGGCCAGACGGCGTACTTGCTTGGTTCCGACTGGCAGGTGGACATCACCGAGCTGGTGAAAGATTTCATGCAAGTGGAAGAGCCAAGAATCGCAAAACTTCAGGAGGGACAGATGTTGGTCGGACAGGAGCTTGGGATGACAACCATCCAGGTAGGAGGAAAACACGGAATGCTCAATAAAACTATAAGAACCGCACTGCGGCATCAGATCACCCGGCCCCACGTTCTGTTTGCAACAGTGACAAAGCACATACCCCTAGAAATCTTACAAGTCGGGTGTAAAGGCAGCAGCCCCTCCCCTGTTCCATGTCCTCAGTGTTTGGGATTCAAGGATATACTGCTTCTGGACGTGGAGGTTCCATGTAGCAATCAAGGCTTATGACCACTGGTAATTCCTACCTTCCATAACTTTATGAAGTCCTTTTCTGTAGCCACCTAAGCTCAAGCAGGGAAAAGGCTAGAGCCTGCTTTGCACACAATTTCAATCCTTCGAATTTCAAGTCCAAAGCTCTTGGGGAGAATGCTTGTCTCCTTGTGGTCTCAGAGGGCCACTATAAGTCAGGATCAGTCATACCAAATTCTGTGGACCAATGGTATGACTTTAGCTAAGGTGGTTTCAAGCTCGAGGCCGCCACCAAATCTTGTCGAAACAAATTCTTTTAGGACCTGGTCACATGGAGGATTTGCTGCGCTAAAGGCATGAATGTCAGGTGGATTTTCGGGGCGCGATCACACCGCAACATCTGGGAAGTGTAGCGCACCCATGGCCAACCCATGGCATCCCACCGAAGATGCGCAGTAAAAAAGTACCACGGAAAGTGGACTAGTATCTGGAAAACGCGGGGCGGGCGTCTGATCGTGGGAATGCTAGTATCCCGTGGCATCCGTCGCCCGTCCTGTCGCAAACCGGGTGTTTTTTCGTAAGTGCATGCGCACAAACACGTAACTGAAAGCAGTGCTGCTCCGCGGAACTGCGCATGGGCACAAACGCAAAGCGTTTGCCGCACTGCTTCTTTGCCACACTCCAGCATCGCCGTGTGTTCGCTAGCTAACAGCCTAAGCGCAGAGACTCGGGGAACTGTGTGATCGGGCTACTGCGCTTTATTTTGCTCCGGGGCAAACAGCCACGCCTCCCCCCCCCCGCATTATCTGGCCCGTGTGACCGGGGCCTTAGTCAGTTTTTGAACTGCGGAAAGAAGAATTTGGCATGGAACACTTAGGCATGTTTTCATAGATGGTAGATGACAAGCCATCAGCTTGCTCAGAGGCTTAGTGTGGGCAGAAGGCCAGAGAGAATGGCAATGTTAAACCTTCTTCTTGAGTCTGTCCCTGCATCCTAAAATACATGCAGCCAACAAAGACTGGCAAAGACAGAAAATAGGATCGGAGGTGATGTGGTACTGAATAGCAGCAGCCAGGGGTTTTGAGAAGAAGTGGTCTGTCTTAGCAGTGAGTCATCAAGTTTCAGCAAAGTCCTTGAGTATTTTTTACTTTGCCTTGCTTCCAGTTCCCAGGGTAGAACAAAGACCTGGGATCCTGGCAGGAGCAGAGAAATGCCTAGAATGAGGAGAGCAGGAAAAAGAGATGTTGACAAACTGCAGAACTGTCTGGTTCAGAACACAAATCTGCCTGGTTGAGTTCGTAATACTCAAATGTATTCCGACTTGAGCATCGTTTCCCTGAGAAGATCCGCTCTAACTCGGCATTAAAGCCTGAGGTTCTGCACACGCATTCACAAAGCAGGTTCAATAACAGGGGCCTTTTTAGAGACACCAAGTCTCCTGCCACAGTGGGAGACCTCCCACCATCCCACTGCTAAGGTGCCAGAGGGAGGAAATGGAGGGGGGGAATGGAGTGCACACTGGCATCACACCAGCACATTGACATCACTTCTGGTAAAAACCAGACATGACTTTGTGGACGGTTTGTGGATTAGATGGTCTAGAATTTACAAGAACTCTATGGTCACCATAGAGTTTGTGTGAATTCTAGAGCAGCCATGATGTCACTTCCAGTTTTTGCCGGAAATGACATCAGTGTCCTGGTGTAATGCCAGTTGTGGATGCTTCGTGGATTAGATGCTTCAGATTTTACAATAAACTCTGTGGTAACCATAGAATTCTTGTAGATTCTAGAGCTCCCATGACATAACTTCTGGTAAAAACTTACAAGAACTTCTTCTAAAATCTTACAAGAACTCTGTGGTTATAGCGTTTTTGTAAATTTTAGAACATCACGGTATCACTTCCAGTTTTACTGGAAGTGGTGTTCATTCCAGAATGACAGCAGCACACCAGGCCCCACCAGGCCCGACCCCCACTTTCTCCCGGGGGTTGCTGGCAGTGGCCTTTCTGTTGAACACTAAGCAAATTGCGAGGGGAAGGGGAATGAATGTGTTTTTAGTTTAAATCTATTGAGCCGATTCTGGATTGAGTGAGGAAGAGTCTGCAGGATGCACAATGTCTAAAGTTTCAAGATGGATGCACAGAAAACTTTCCTTAAAAACCCATTTGTACACGATTGGGTAGCTGGCGTCGGGGCCTCCCACCCATGCATTGCCCAGGGGCCCCCGAGACATTGATCACTCGAACGTGCCTGATCCATTGAACAAACTGTCAGTGCAAGGAAAGTACTCTTTGGGAAGCAGAAATGCTCGGCGGCCCTCCATAAGGATCTTTATTTATAGGTTTCAAAAGGCTCTACATCTTGTCTTGCCTTTTGCAAGTGTCCATAAATATAAAGAATATCTCCAGGAAGGGAGTTCAGAGAGAGAGAGAAACGGCTAAGCAGCCCGCCTTAAAGAATACAAATGGCCTGCCACGGAAGGAATCGTCAAAGTCAGCTGCTTTGGAAATGCGGAGGTCTCGGTCAATGCAGCCTGCTCCCCGTCTGTTTTAATTCAGTGTTTATGGGTCTGGTCCAAGGAGTGTTCTTAACGCAGTCACATTGGGGGGAGGGGGAGTCAAGTCCCTGCCCTGCGATGGTTACACTGAAACAGTACAGGAGAGGAAAGGTGGCACACAGGAAGGATGCGGTCGGATGTCGCTGTGGGACCCGTGGCTTATTTGGCGAAGGGAGGACAACCGTTCAGGGCTGTAACCAACGGCTTTATTTATTTATTTTTATTTATTTATTTTTGAGATTTCTATGCCGCCCTACCCAATGGCTCAGGGCGGCGAACAACAAGTTTAAAAATTAAGTGCCATAAAACACTGTTACACATATAGTAAAATCTGGCGCTACAAAAGCCTACATAGAAATACACAAGACACAGCAACCCACATTTAACAGCTAGTATTCTTAAAAGCGAGAGAGCACCAGGAGCAGTATTTCACAGCACAGTCGGGCAACGTCTGCTCCCCAAGATGCGATAGATGGATAATATCGTCGCGGTGGTTTCTCCAGGGGAACTGACCTTGGTTATCCGGAGATCAGTTATCACAGCAGGAGATATTCAGGTTCCACCTGGAGGTTGGCAACCCTAGAAATATGGGGTTTGAAGGCTGGCTGGTGCCACTTCGGCGCTCTGGGAAGGCGATCCAGGCAGAAAGGGAAGCGAGGGGATATGGGTGGGGTCTGAGACAGTCCGGAGATCAGTTATCACAGCAGGAGATCTTCAGGGGCCACCTGAGTTTGGCAACCCTAGAAATACAGGGTTTGAAGGCCGGCTGGTGACACTTTGGCGCTCTGGGAAGGCGGTCCAGGCAGAAAGGGAAGCGAGGGGACATGGGTGGGGTCTGAGACGGCAGGAGCATTGCCGGTCAGAGTTAAATGCAAAAAGTCGGTAGTTGGGAGTCTAGTGGGAAACAGTTAAAAGTGAAGATTGCTTTTGTTTGTTTTTTTATTTACGTCATTCATAATTTCTCTCCTCTCTTCCCTGTTAATCCTCACAACAACCCTGTGAGGTAGGTTGGGCCGAGAGTATGCGACTCGCCCAAGGGCCTCCAGCAAGTTCCCATGGCAAAGTTGGGTTTGAACCTGGGTGTCCCAGATACTAATCTGACCCAGCGGTCCGCAGTGTGGAGCCCAGAGACGCTGAGGCCACCCACCAACACCTTTCCCGGGCCCTGCCAAGTGTTTTCAGAAAGTGGCTGAGGCCGGGTGGGCTCCTACCCGGTAGGGCTTCCAGTCGGCCATTTGACATCGGATGGGCTGTGCAGGTTAAAATCGCACTTCAGCAACAGGTGCCCCTGCAGTGTTGGCTTTATCCTCTAATTCCTCTTTCCTAGTGTATTTTCACAATTTGCTGCTCTCGTCTCCTGCACTTTTGCTTCCCCTGTGTGTGTGGTTGGTTCCACCTCCCGGCTGGCCGTTTTGTGGTCGCGGCCGTCACCCCCGTGCCAAAATTCAGTTGCTGCCCACAGGCTCTAAAGGGTTGGGGACCCCTGCCCTGGCCTCTGTGCCACACTGGCAACATGATCTGTAGAAAGTAGCCGGTGAGCACATTACTCTTCCGGCCATGGAAAACTTACCCGCTGATCTCCGTCGTTCAAAGTCCCGTTAAAAGTCACAAGGCCAGGCCAAGAAGACTTTTTCTGGTCAGCTGGTAACACTAACTTGCATCCAGCAGTTAGCTTATTTTGAAGTATGGAAATAATTTATTAGGAGATGTTTGACCTTCCTTGTGTTTTGCTGTGACGCGCAGGGGTCATTTCCTGCGGGAGCGCACAGGAGCAGAGCTCCAGCAGTAAGGAGCCCAGGGGGATAGCTAGCAATCCAAAACAGTCCAGTGGAGCCTGAGCAGTGGGTGTTGCCTTCTGACACATTTCTGGTGATGTCAGGGGGTGTGGCATATGCAAATAAGTTATGCTAATGAGTTATGGTAATGAGCTCCTGCACCTCTTTTTCTATTAGTAACACATCTGGTGTCTCACCTTGGCTTTCTTCTACAGATTTTGTCCCCTCTCTCCGACGCCATCTTGGCCGAGAAGACTGTGACCGTTCTGGATGAGAAGGTGACGATTACTGACCTGGGAGTCCAGCTGGTGACGGGCCTTTCCCTCTCCTTGCAGCTGAGCCCAGGAAGCAACAGGGCCATCTTTGCCACCGCGGTCGCCCAGGAAATCCTCCAGACACCACAACAGGTATGAGGAGCGGCGAGGTCACCTGGGCGAGTGGTAGATGTGAGGGAGCGGCAACTTTCCATCCCACACACCACTAGCCTCCAGCATCCTATTGCTAACCAGCCACCTGCCTGTCACCCCTACCTGCCTGCCGAGTAGGGCTCCCAGACCTCCCACTTCCAGGGAAAATGCAAAAGTGAGTTGCTCTAGGAATTGCCAGAAACTCTGTGGTTTTACAATATGGTTTTACCACTGAGTGTCTGGCAGTTCCTAGAGCTACCTGATGTCACTTCCAGGTTTCCCCTGGAAGGGATGTAGTGGCAGACAGAACATCGCAACCCCACCAGCCAGTCTGGTGTAGTGGTTAAGTGTGCGGACTCTAATCTTGGAGAACCGGGTTTGAGTCCCCACTCCTCCACTTGCACCTGCTGATGTGACCTTGGGTCAGTCACAAGCTCGGGCACAGCTGTCCTTGAAAAAGAGCAGTTTGTGTCAAAGTTCTCTCAGCCCCACCCACCTCACAGGGTGTCTGTTGTGGGGAGGGGAAGGGAAAGGAGTTTGTAAGCCACTCTGAGACTCCAAGTGAAGGGCGGGGTATAAATCCAATCTCTTCTTCTTCTTCTTCTTCTCTATGTCCCCACCTCCAAAACTCTGTCGGTTGCCTTACCGGGCATTGCTTGGCATCTTTACTGTCAAGGCACTAGCAAGACACTGACGACGACCGTCCTGATTTCCTTGTTCCCTCAGGCACAGCAAACCACCCACGCACCAGGGCCCAAATGCTCGTGAGCTTTCTTCCTCTCATGAGAGTCCGGTATTCCTTTTGGGGCACCAGTTGCAGAGAAACCAAAATGGTGTCTGAACTCTCATGAGAGGAAGTTACCTTGCGAGAGTTCAGGAAGCCTTATAGGCCATGTGTGGCTTGTGCTGCTTTTGGGAAGAGGGCTGGGGGAGAGAAGGAGGACTCTCGCTTTAGGCTCCCAGGCCGGGGCAAGTCAGGAGCCGTCGAGCTGACAGGAGAGCAGTACAGATACAACTGGCTTGGGATATCCACGGCCACTGCTCTAGCTGTGCCAGACGGCCTCTTGTGAAGCCTGATTTTACCGGCTGGGTGCATTTGAAATCGTTGCTCATGTAAACTGGTGATCTTCGGAATTCAGCTCTGCGTAGAATTCAGTTCTGCGCAGGCAACAGACTTCCACTGTACTAAATGATTCAGAAAGCTTCTTAGATAAATTACTAGGGACCAGGGTCTATACTACTGTGTTTTGCTTACTGAATCTAGGGTCCTACTATGTGATCTTTTTATCATACAGGGGTGTCGAACTCTTTTGTTATGGGGACAGGATCTGACATAAATGAGACCTTGTTCGGCCAGGCCATGTGTGTCATAAAGGGTAATGCCAGGTAGTGGAGATCTAAACTTTATAAGGGACACAGACAAACACAATTAAAGATTTTTTTAAAACTTTAAATAACACATTTTCAGTGAGTTCGACACCCCTGAGTGTGTCATGTTAAGACAGATGCTTTGTTTTAGTTATGGGTTTTTTTGGTTTCTGGTTGATTCTACAGCCCTGGTGTAGTGGTTAAGTGTGTGGACTCTAATCTGGGAGAACCGGGTTTGATTCCCCACTCCTCCACTTGCAGCTGCTGGGTGACCTTGGGCAAGCCATAGTTCTGTCAGAGCTGTTTCCTGAAGGACAGTTCTGGAAAGAGTTCTCTCAGCCCCACCTACCTCACAGGGTGTCTGTTGTGAGGAGGGGAAGGGAAAGGAGTTTGTAAGCCGCTCTGAGACTCTGAGTGAAGGGTGGAATATAAATCCAATCTCCTCTTCTTCCTCCTCTTCTTCTTCTTCTTCTTCTTCTTCCTCTTCCTCTTCTTCTTCCTCTTCCTCTTCTTCTTCTTCTTCTTCTTCTTCTTCTTCTTCTTCTTCTTCTAGAAGGCTGAAAGAGTTGGGTATGTTTAGCCTGGGAAAGAGAAGGCTTAGAGGGGACATGATTGCAGTCTTCAAGTATTTGAAGGGCTGTCATGTAGAAGATGGAGAGTATCTATTCTCTCTTGCTTCGGATTGCAAGACTAGGTCTAATGGGTGGAAATTACAAGGGAGTCGTTGCCGGCTAAATATCAGTAGAAACTTCCTAACTGTAAGAGTGGTTGAGCAGTGGAACAGTCCGCCTCGGGAGGTGGTGGATGCTCCTTCACTGGACGTTTTCAAGCGGAGGCTGGACAACCATCTTTCGGGTATGTTGTAGGGCGATCTTTCGGCTATGCGCCTGCAGTGTGCAAGGGGTTGGACTAGATGACCTGCAAGGTCCCTTCCAACTCGAGCATTTTATGATTCTATTCTTCTATTGCATTGTTCATCGAATGTCCCATCCTGCCGATCGTATTGACTCGTTCTGCGTAATCCACCTTGAGTCCATGTGAGAAAGGCGGACAATAAATGACATAAATAAATTTTAAAAGTAAATAAAATAACTCCCCAGAAGCTAAATCTCTGCGATGGGGGGGGCTCTTATCTTGCAGGGAGGGGGTGGCTCAACAGTAGAGCTTTGTAGTGTTGCCAACTCCAGCTTGGGAAGTTCCTGGAGATTCGGGGGTAGAGCTTGAGAAGGGCAGGGTCTGGGGAGGAACCTCAGCAGCATATAATGCCATCGAGCCCACTCGCCAAAGCACTCGTTTTCTCCAGGGGACCTGACCTCTGTTGTCTAGAGGTCAGTCGTAATTCTAGATGTCCAGGCGGACCCACCAGCTGCAATACCACTCGAGGGAAAGAATCTCAGTGGGCGTTGAGACGATGATGAGAGGAACCCCAGGGATCCACTGCCCTTTGGCCAAGCTTGTGGGATCTTGCTCGCGGGATCGCCCCAGTGCTTCTATTAATATCCTAAAAGAGCATTCTAAATGTACAGACTCTCACCCCTTAGGGCCAGCAAGCATCTAAGCAGACAGAAGTAAGTTCCAGTAACAGGACTTTGAAATGGCTACTGGTTCCAGGAAACAATAACTTCCCATCTCTCCTTTCACATATGCCATAAATAATACACCATCACACAATTCACCGGCCATAAATATACAATAGTGTTTCCCCCTCCCCCTTTGGAAAGAAGAAGACAGTCTCGTTCACTTGTTTACCTGGGCAAACACTTGTTCGACTCTTTCTGTACCACCGAGAAATTAAAAAGTAGAAGAGTTATGGTTTTCCTTCCCCTGTCATAAAGTATAAGTATCTCAGGCCAAGGGCTTTCTTTCATCTTGGTGTAAATCTCATTTGGAGGGGGGGAGCCTTGGTGGGGGTTAGTAGAGTTACTGATACTGTCAAGGCTAGCCCCACAGTGTGGGCGGGCAGTGTACCCTCCAAGTGCCCTCTCTTTCTAGAATCTGTACTCAGTAAATTGGTGGGGATAGCCAGAGTAAATAAGCATGGTGTGTTTACAGGGCTTGTGTTTACAGCATTCAAAATATGAGAAAGTTTTAATAAATGAAAATTAAATAGAATTCATGGTCTGCTCAAATGTCGCACTGAGCAACGATACAAAGAAAAGGTGAAAACAACGCAATCCAATCACCCTACACTTTGAGATTATGGGTTATTATTCCTTGAAATTACAGTATTTAAAAATCCATCATTATCTTAGCTCTTAGAGATGGCCAGGATGTAAATTGAATGAATGATTGAATGAATGAATCAATGAATCAATCAATCAATCAATCAATCAATCAATCAATGGTCCTTCATCCCATGGGCAAGACAAAGTACCAGGTAAAGACTTTAGTCTTGTATACTTTGTGCTGATCCATGAAAAAACAGCAAGTTGGTGTCCTAGGAATTTATGATCTCCCATTGGGCTCTCCCCCCCCACCTGTGGTTGTTCTAATCTTCCTGCCTTAAGAGCAGTTAGATTTGAGTCCTAAGGTGCTACTGGACTCAAATCTAACTGTTCTACTGTTAGCCAACATGGCTTTCCTCTGAAACTGCCTTAAGAGGAAAATTCACTCTCTAGCCATCTGCCTGTCCCAGTCACTGTCCCTTGGGTGTGACGTTCTAGCAAGGTGTGAAAGGGTAAGCCTATTTTCCTACTTCGGCCAGAGTCATTAGCAACCGTAAACACCAAAGCATCCTGTGCTTGGGGCTTGATGGCTCATCCACCGGCCCCCTCCTTTCTTTTGCAGTTGGGCTCCGACTCATGAACAAAGTATACTATAGCCCCAATGGTTAAACTGTGGGGGTGCATTCTAGGGTGGAGAGCATTTCCCCACACCTATTATCAAAGCAAAATATCCTGGAGGTCAAACTCCTGCTAACTAGAACTTGTACCCTTATTCAAACCAGAGTCTCTTTTCTACCAGTTTGGGTAAGAAATACTATTGGCTGCATCCTCTAAAAGGCAATAAAAATGAGGTTCCCTCCTCCTTCAAAGAGTCCAGCAATCAAGCAACACACAGCTAGAAATTGGGCCGACGAGCTAATCCTTTGCTGACCTGGGGAGCTAAATGCACAGCCTTGAAATCAGCTCAAAAGCTGGGCTTGATGGACATTGAGCTCCAGCAAGGCTGCACGGTTCAGATTCCTGAGAAACGGAGTCATACTTGAAGTGTAATTTTGGGGTGGGGGGACTAAAACCAGGTGATCAGTGGAAATATAGAAGTCCTTTGGGGGAGGCTGCTAAATGACCCCTTTTCTCTCTTATGGTCTGTACGTAGTTTGACCAAGAGCAAAACGTTTGGCCCATCCCTTAACATGTGGTGTTTCAAGGGGAGAAGAATTTCTAGGGATGGCATGGGGTGATGATCATACGCAGGGGTCATTTCCTGCAGGAGCACACAGGAGCAGAGCTCCGGCAGTAAAGAGCCCAGGGGGCGGGCACATGCAACAAGCCCCACCCCCTGCTCCCAGCAGCCCTCAGTCAGAGCAAGAAGCAGCCAGGTAAGTTGCAGAGCCCCCCCCCCCCCCGACAAAAACAGTCCCGGGGCAGGTTTAAAAAC